TTTTTTTTTTTTTTTTTTTTTGATACTGTGTCTTCTTGGTTTTTGTTTTTGTTTTTGGAGAATTGCTATGTAGCCCAGACTGGCAGCCTCCAGATTCGGCGATGCCCCGTCCCAGCCTCCCAGTGCACTGCCACACCTGGAAAAGCCTTAATCTTCTCACAGAGCTGACTCTGGGCACCAGGATGGTTTTATTTTGGATGTTTTTGGTTTTTGTCTGTCTGTCTGTCTTAAACATTTCAGGAAATGATAGGCTCGTCCTCAGCAAATCGCAGCTTTTGAGTCATGGCTGGTACTCCGATCCCAAATTACACAGAATACAGGGAGGAGAACACCTGAGAGTAGCCGGCCGGGGAGACTGGAGCCCCGTCCTGTCCCAGACAGGAAGACCCCAGAATGTCTACCCAGCCTCAAGGGAGGGGAGGGCACCCGACTGCAGGAATCTGATCCGAGAGGGGCCGGGAACAAGGGTCCGGGCTGTCCGGCCAGCAGGGCGGCTGTGGGCGCTGCCTGCGCAGGGGGGAAGAAAACCAGCCAGGGCCTCACGGCTCCGGGAGGGAGCGAGGACGGCGCCGAAGGCCCTGCGGGGCCACACGTTACGGCTCTGCTCCTCCAGGAGGCGCTGTTGCCCTGCATTTTGTTGACTATGCTGCATTTACTGGGGAGGGAGGGTGTACGGACAAAATTCAAACACAAGATTCTGCCGCTTTCAAGGGCTGCGCTGCAGAAAGGAGGAGGGAATCCCTCTTCATCCGTCAGAGGCCAGAGACCTGCATCAGCCACTCTCTACACACTAAAATGCCACACTTCTCCGACACGTGGATACAACCTAGGACGCCCCAGGGTGGCCACGCAGCCCTGGGAGGAGGAGAGCCCTTGGGACACTTGGGCAGGAAGGATGAGCCCCCATCACGTTCAGCGGGGAGAGACATAGGGGCCCTGTGGTTAGTTAGCAAGCTTCAAGGAAAGATATTTGAACGCAGATACTGGAAACAGAACTCCGAAGAGGCCGCAGTATTTGTTTAGTGAAATGTTAGGGATGCGTGAGAGCCTCTGAGTGCTTGTTGGTTCAGAGCTCAGGGCTGAGAGTACGAGGCCGCATCTGGATGACGGAAGCTGCCTTCTCCCAAAACAGGGTCGCGGAGGACGAGTCCCGGTGCCTCCCGCTGGCAGGATGAGGACTCAGAGCAAAGCCGCAGGCCAGGACAGCGTGCAGGTGCGCAGCTGCTGGGCAGGAGGCCTTCTCCAGGCCTTCTCCTGCCAGCGCTGAAGTCCTGGAGCTCAGGGAGAAGCTGCAGCAAGGCCCCTCTCCTCTGGCCCCAGGGTCCCCACCTGTGGACTCCGAGTCGGTCCTGCTCTTCCCATTTGCAGAGGCAGAGCCTGAGTGAGCTGACAGCCAGGAGTGGGAAAGGCGGAGAGTCGGGGAGTGCAGTTGGGCTCCCTGGTGTCAGCACTGGGGTGACTCAGCCTGGCCCGCCAGGGGTGGCCGCCTGCAATCCAGTCCGGCTCGCTGCCCTTCCCTCCGGCCATGTGGTGCTGTTCGGGCATTGCCTGAGTCACCCCTTAATAAGAGCCGTTGCCTGGAGCACAGAGCCGTGTGCCTGGCTTTGCACCCTGGAAGCAAACCTGTCTGGAAGTTGGCATGCCCATGTGGACATATGGACAGCAACTTTCCTGTGCCCGCCTCTTCCGAAGACCACAGGCGTCACCTTGCGGGGCCTCTGCTTCCAGGAAAGGGGTCGCTCACACACTCCAACCTGGGTGCCCTCCCCCTGGCCCGCGTGCCCCTCCTCTGCACCCAGAGCTCGCCCTTCTCCCACTCAGACCAAACCCTCCCCACCAGGAGCCAGCGCTGGGCTTGTCCCACTCCCTTCCTGCTAAGAAACCTCCAAGAATCCCCATCAGCCCCAGAAACCATCAGCCTGTCCTGAATTAGGCACAGTGTAACTGGCCTGCGGTGAATTTCCCTCTCATCTTCAGACTTTCCAGAACATTCACACTCAGGTGGCGCTAGCAGAGTAACAGGCGCCAGGTGAACCTGATGTGGCTTTCCTTGTCTGAGATCAGGCTGCGCTATAAGCACCCTTGGATTATCTCAGGGGCATTAGAGTTTATGAACAGAGCGCTTTCCTGCCCCTGTTGGCTTTTCGCCTGCCCTTTCAGGCCTACAGTTTTTATGGGGCAGATTGCAGGGTGTGTGGCCGCCGAGAGGCAATTCCCCTTTCCCTCACTGCCTGACCATCCTTAAGTCCTTACCGGGAGGGTTGGGGCCTCTCCCTATGGGGCCAGAGTCCAGGGATGGCGACCACCTACAGAGCTTTCCATGCCGACTGCTGGCTGGAAATCAGGAGTCCTGAGGGTCAGTCCAACCTCACAGTCTGAGTCTCCTGCCGGCCCACACCACTGGTCCCCAGAGGCACGGGCACTCCAGGTGCCCAGTGTGCAGCCTACAGCTCAATGTCTAGCAGGGGCTTGGGGACCACTGGATTCTTCTATCCTTGCAGCACCAGGCTTTAAAGGCTTCCAGGACCTGGAGATGGACTTCTAGCAAGGTTCCTGCACAAAGAAACCCAACATGTCAGAGTCGTACTAGACGCTGCGGTAGCTGAGTGCTGGCGGTGACTGAGGCTCACACACGGAAACTACAATTGGGCTGGGGGGACAGCGTGGGCAAGACCTGATAGAAGACGCCGTCCGGACGTGGGTCTCAAAGGACAAAGTGCTTCAGCAGGTGAAAAGCGGACAAGGGAAGGTCCAGTGAGTGGAACAGGCCCCCAGGCAGAGTGCAAGTCCTCCACAAGTGCCCCGGGCGCCCTCCAGGGCATGCCGCCAGTCAGGCCGCAGAGCAAGTCTCAAAAACCTCAAAGACTGCAATGATACAAAGTGTACTTCAGGGGAATACAAGTCAAAATCTCGATGAGATACCACTCTACACACACTGGGATGCCCGGAATTCAGAAGGGGGATCATTACAAGTGTTACCGAGAACCTGGAGAGCCCTGAACCCTCACACACTGCTGTGTGCAGTATAAAACCTGCCTGTAATATCAGCAGGCATCGGTACAAAAGTGCATTTGTGATGTGTGTATTTGTAAATATACATACATATGCAGAGTCGCCAAAACACGGATACACGCTTCGGGAAAAGAAACACCGGGATCAGTATTTTAACGCCAAATTTATTCAGACATGGTGAGATGAGTACAAGTCACCTTTGGCCTCCACAGTGACAGGAGGTGCTCAGAGGGGGCCGTGAGCCCCCAGACGCTCAGTGCCCTGAACTGCCGCTCGGGGACCTCGCTCACTGAGATCGCCGTGTGTGCGTGCATTTTCACTTTCTTCCCTAAGGGCCGGCAGTGCAGTGGGTTTCCTGCGATACACGGCATCCTCTAGGGTCCCTCACACGAGGGTAACACCATCTGCTGAAAAAACTTCATAGTTTTCCTTTTCCTGAAGTGTGTATACATTTTTTGGTGGACTTTGTATTTATTTTTATTTATTTGGTACCGGGGATCAAACTCAGGACCTTGTGTTTGCCAGGCAGGTGCGGTGCCACTGAGCTACATCCCTGGCCCTGGACTCCATATTTCTAAACAAGTTGTGGTTGATAAAGATTCTGACAGGAAATGGAAGATTAATAAACACGTTGTAACCAGGCAGGGTGCTGCATGCCTGTAATCCCAGCACTCTAGTACAAGGTACCAGAATGAGTTACGAGGATCTCAAGGCCAACAGCTGCCTCTGTGGAAGCCCCAGCGGGTCCCTTAGCCATGCTGAACCCGTGCCTGTGCTGGGTGGGGATCATACCACTTGACACAGCAGCACTTACGTGAAGGGTGTGTGTCAAGTGTGTAACAGTACTCCTAGAGCTCATGCTGGTGTTCAGCACGTTTGCTCAGCTGTGTGTGCTTCTGGTGGGAAACACTGGATATATTCATTCCCTGGAAAGGAAGAGGGAGGCCAGGGTCAGTTCACTCATGGGTCACAGTGTTCCAGGTCCGGGTTAACCACGATGCACAGCAGCCAGATGGAACCGGCCTTTACAAATGGCTGGGGGCCACACACGCCACAGGGGATGCAGTCTCTGGGGAGAGCCCAGGCTGCACGGTCCATGCGCTCTGTCCCACGCCCTCATGGTTCCCCTGGATGGCCTCACTGCACAGGCCACAAACCCCAGTCACTAGCTCATTTCATTTTGTTATTTTAATACTTACAATCCTTAAAAAACTCTTCTAAGCATCAAAAAGCAGAAGGATGTTGGTGGCTTGTACTTAATCGTTGATATGCTTGAGCCAGGCAGACAGTCTCTTTTCTGGTTTTCTCTGAGCAAAAAGAGCAGCACACAGTCACCAAGGGCCACCAGAATGAGTGAAGCATCTGTTTGCATAATCTACTTTTCTCCTAGAGCTATAAACATAATTGCTCGTTGACGGCTGGCAAAAGAGCCCATTAACCTGCCCTTCCTGTGATTTGGATCTAATTTGAATGTCAGCTACATTATGAGCCCTCAATTCATTAAGCTGACAAGACAGACAGTGCCTCTTCATCAGCATGAGGTAAAAGCCTGTCTGCTGGCCACTGAGCCTGGCAGTGACTCTGAGGAGAGGCAGCTCATCCAGACAACAAGCAGGCTGTAGAAATCCTAAGTCGCTGCTGGGGGAGACGGAGCAGGCACAGTCAGTATGACAGGCAGAGGGCTGCACAAGGCAGCCGGTGTCACCTCTGTGGCCAGGCAGCCCGGACCCCTTCCTTGGCAACACCAGCAAGCTCATCAAGGCCACAAGCTGCCCTAGCTCCTGCAGGGCAGCCATTCCCATTCGGCTCTCTGCTCAGATGGACAGAAAGGAGGCAGTGGTGTCAGGGCACACCCAGGTGTGGGATGGGCCAGATAGCTGATCCACCAAGCAAGCCAGGAAATTATGGCACTAGTGACAACTGAGGCTAGAGGAAGAAAATTCAGACAGGAAGACAGACTGGCCAGGTTAGAGGAGAACGAGATGTCAGTGGAAGATGGAGGGTACGGGTGGAGAAAGTGAAATGTGTTCCCTGACTACCGTCCCTCGGTGGTGTAGGCCCAGTGGCGTGACAGGAATAGGAGCCGTGGGTTGGCTGAATGCGGGTGGGAGAGTAGAGATAACAAGTTCACTTTTTTTCTCCATATCTGGGGAAAAAGAAAACAACACGAAAGCTAGAGAAGAAAGAATCTAGGAAGATAATTTTTTCAATAGAACAATATGAGAAGCCTATATTGAGAGGAGAGAGAGGCAGAAATTACAGATGAGAGCAAAAGGCTGATAGTTTGAGTGGCAAGAAATGATGGAATCCAGTGTGGCGTCTGACTGGTGCTCAAATGGAGGAGGACGCTCAGGACCAGAAGAAATGCACAACACGGATGCAGGTCAGTCTACAGGAGGAAGGGGAAGGAAGCGGACAGAATTTCTCAACGCACTCAGTGTGGAGGGTTAGCAGTCATGCTAGGAATGGAAGAGGAGACTGATGGGAGACAGGAGGGGTTGGGAAACTTGAAGGTCTAAAGAAGAAAGGCGATTTTCTTGAGGCTGCCTTACCGGTTACGGCTTAGAGACAGGGCAGCAAGAGCAAGGTACTGATTTGGAGGGGAACTAGCATGTCCTTAGCATCCATCACATCCCGAGCGCTGTTCCTGGTGGCTTACGGGAGGTCAGTTACATTACCCAACTCGATCCTGTGAGGTCCTTGCCTATTAATACCCCATTTTGCTGATAGAAAATTTGAGGTTCCAAAAAGCTCAGTAACTTTGCAAGGCCGTGATGCTCATAAGCATTCAAGCTGTATGCAAAGCAACGTCTGCTGGCCCCAAGAACCTCACAACCCTGGTGCCCACACCAGTCCCACTTTCCACTCTGCCCTCTCCTCACTGGTTCTTGTTAGTGTTCTACTGCCCAGAGCAACAGGAACAAATCATACTAAGTCCATCAGCGGAGCAATCAGAAAAGTGTATTTTTGTTCACTGCTACATAAACACATAAATCCGACTGTCATTTTGGTTACTAGTGGGAAAATATTTTACATGCTTGATTAAAAGCAGTGATATAAAAGTATGAGATTATGTAAACTAAAAAGATAAACTGGGGGCTGGGGGAAGAGCTCAAGGGTAGAGTACTTCCCAAGCATGCACAAGGCCCTGGGTCCAATCCCTAGTTCCACAGTACCACACCCGTGTGCACACACACACAAAGGTAAACTCTGCTTTTTCTCTGCTAAAGTACACCCTACTGGTAAGCACCTGATCTTTATGATTTTTACGCAAATCCTCAGTAACTAAATACATTTTAATATACAAAGCACACACACAAATGAAATTATCAATTGTGTTTATACATTGGCTAACTAGGACCTCAAGCAAAGTGCAGAAATATCATGATTAATGCATACAGTGCTTACTGCCTGCCAGGCCATGTTAGGATTTTTTATCATTTAACACTTGCAAGCGTTCTATCAAGTAGGCCTTATTGTACAATGAAGAACTGAGTCACGGAGTGTCTCAGTAACTTGCTGAACACCACAGACCTGTAAGCAGCAAAGCAAACTCCAGAGCCTGTGGTCTGCGCCTCACAAAGGGGAGTGGCCTAGATCGGGCTGTCATTCCCATTCTAATCCACTCCACTCCCCGACAAGAGCCTCAAAGGCACCCTGCTCTTAAAACATCCTGCTCCAGCCCTTCAAGGCACATCTCATAGGACACGGTCCAAGTTCTTTAATTAGCATCAAAAGTCCTCCTAGCCACGACCCAGGCCTGTTTCCCACTAGTCAGAATCTGCTTCAGTCACACTTTTTTTCCCACTTGCTGGCCCCATGGCTGAGCTGCAACCCCAGTCCACCTCCATGCTTCTGCCCACCGTGTGTTCTTTCTGAAAAAACCTTCCCAGTTGATTTGCTTTCTGTCCCCTTCAGGGCCCATTCATGCCTCAATCCGAAGAAGCCTCTGAAACTGCTTGCTGTGACATCTACTGAAATTCCCTTCCAGGCCCTTGCAGACTGTCTCTACACACCCTTCTGTCTACCTACTCAGACTTCGGGCCAGGGACCGAGTTCTTAACTTGAGTCCAGTTTAGGTGGCTGGCACAATGTACATGTCCAACAGCCACTCACCGTGACTCGCATCTCTGGGAAAAGACACCTGTGGATATTACCAATCATCTCAAAAGGTTCAAGCTCCATTTAAAACAAAGATACAGCATTTTAGAAGAAGATGTCAAGGAAGGGCAGTGCAGCTTTAGGTGGGCCTTGGCCTGCACAGCCTCTGGGTTTAGAAGTCTCTCCCTCGTGGTGGATTCGCTCATGTCTGGCAGCTACTTGTGGCAGAGCCAGGGAGTCTCCCACGAGGGACAACAGTGAGGCTGGCAGACACCTTGCACTGCCTCCTCCTGTAAACGAGAGGATAGCTGAGCCGATCTAATACCTGGGAACCCAAGTCACTGTTTAAGTCTTCTGCACCCAATTACGCTTCAAATGGCACACAGTAAGAAAAGAATAATACATCATGCATTTGTTATTAATTATAATGTAATACTGTCACTACTGTTTCCTTGTAACATGATAGCAAATAAAATGTAGCAGAATAATTTCCATCTAAAAAAGCCTTCCGAATCATGATTGCTTGACACTGAACTTAGTACCATTTACCAAGACTTTAGTTTATACCTACTAATGAGAAAGATAATTTCTCATACAAATAGCAACCAAACTTCAAACAATCTGACCTGAACAGACGTTTTCCTCAGTTATTACATTAAACTTGGGTAAAGTAGGCACTTGTTCTAATTTACAAGAAGAATTCAAGTTTTCTAGAATGAGGCTAAGGTCATTAATCATGCCGTGATAACTAAAAACGTCTCACTGTGGAACAAATTCCATGGTCTATTCCATGGTGAAGCTGGTTTACCAGGGCGTGAAAAAAAAACAGCTTCCTAACAATATGGTAGTTGAGAGTTTTTATACTCTTGAAACAGTGAAGTATTTCACTGGCGCAGAAAAGAATAACAGCATATTGTGCTAAAGTTAAAAATTCTTTTTTATTTCTAGAATAGATGATGCAGAGCAAACAGTTTAACAACACTATCCACATAATAGACTTATTTCAAACAGGTCATAACAAAACCAAAAGCAAGGCTGAACTGTAGCTTTTGAACCAGTTTTCCCTTCCAAATGATCTTGCTTTCATTGTCCACATTTTGTTCCAGTGGACCTGACGCTAAGTAAGTTACAGAGCTTTACTGCAGTCAAATCCAACGAAACAGCACCGTTCACATGACATAACTGTCAATCACTTCACCACAACTAGGATCTGAAAAGCAAGCTGAAAATCGCCTACCACTTTTATTAAAGTTTCTAGTTTTAAACTACAGTACAATAGTGAGAGGCCCGATCCCATGACCTGCAACGGGTTCTCCAGAGGGCTCATTATTCAGTCTGTCAGGAAGTACGCCAGCTAAACTATCCAAATTCTGAAAATCTGTACTCTCAGGAAAACGGGCTAGGTGATCTCTCAGGTCCCTCTAAAAACACAACCTAAATCTTCAGACAAAATTTAGAATGTGTTGTTTTAAACCATGTCTAAACATTTACACTCTGTCTTGCTCATGAGGCAATGCTTTGAAGATGTGAATTCCTGGGGGGAAAACTGTAACCCACCTGTTGTGGCTGTGTCCAGATGTGCCCCAAAGCCTCGTGTGGCCACAGGTGGGGCCCTTCCAGAGGTGGCTGCGTCTAGGGTGTGTGACACTGGGACTGACTCATGGTGCAGTGCTAGGCTCAAGGGCAGTAGGGTTAGGGTGTGAGTGCTGCCCGCCCTGAAGGCCTGGACAAGACAGAAGGGGTAGAAAGAGCTGTGATTGTCCTTTGCTTGCTTTGCTTTCTGCTGCTCGCCAGGAACTGCTCCCGCTCTGCGAGGCCCCTCCGCCATGTGCCACCCTGCCTTGGAGCCAGCCGACTATGGTCTAAAACCTCTACAAACTATGAGCAAATACACCTTTCCTCCCTTAACTTTGAGGGTCAGGTATTTTGTCTCAACAACAAGAAAAGTAACTTCGACGCCATCTCATTTGTTTCATGAAGGCCCTGCCGCAGAAACGGGGTCCCATTGCTACACTCCTAGCCAGACAAGGGCTGTTATGCACCATACAACCCCCAGGGAAAGAAAAGGGAAATGATGCATTGGCCTTATTTCAAAACAATGAGGAAGTGAAGCTGGTTTACCAACACAGACTTTTTTTTTTAAAAAAAAGGATCTTGCTATGCAGTTCAGGCTGGCCTTATAGTATGTAGCCCAGGCTGGCCTTGAACGTACAACGATCCTCCTGCTTCAGCCTCCTGACAAGTCTATTTAAATAATTTCAGTAGAAGGTAGCTTTGTTTCAACTTGATTTCTAACTCACTACTTCAAATATTAATAGACTTGACTGAAAGCTACACCAACTTTGTAACCAATCCTATTATAAAATGCTATTTTTTAAACAATGTATTATGTTAGAATTGAAGAAATGTCTGTCAGTACTGATGTCTAATCTTCTGTGACATTCTTTCCTGGCTCTGTTCGTGCTTTCTCCCTTAACCTAAACTGACAGGGGAGTCACACTTTCATCAAAAGATAAGCCCTTCTCCTCCAAAATTCAAGTCACTTCAAATTGGATCAGACCAATGGCAACCCTGTTAAGTAATGTCTAACAATATCCTCAAGAGAAAGATTTTGGGGAAAAAAAGAGAGAGAGAAAGATTGTGCGGGACAAGTGCACATCTTCCAAGCAGTCAGCTGCACACTGTGTATAGATGTACAATACGAAAAGTCATGAGCTCAGTATACATAAAATTGCAATTCCTTTCCTATGTCCTACAAATTACCTGTTGTTATGGTATGCCTCCCAATTATGGAGTAGAAACAATTTCCTAGTTTACAACCCTGGATCTCTGCTACTTACCAATTACGTGACTTTTTTTTTTTTTTTTTGAGACAGGGTCTATGTAGCCTATACTGGGCTGAACTTGTAATCCTCCTGCCTTAGCCTCCTGGGTGCTGGGATGACAGGTGTGCACCATCAGGCCTGGTGCCACACGACCTTTATCACCACCACGTCTAAACACAGTTGTGTAATCGGTGCACACCTACTGCATAAGCTCCTTGCCTTTCTGCACAATACTCAACACTCCCATGCCAGGCACTGGGCGCACACTTCACACAGACTTCCTCACTGACCATCACTACTCTTACTTCTGTTGATAAGTGAAACAAGTCACACTTTGAGGAGTTAAGCCCAAAGTGGTGGTGAGTATGTTACCAACCTGACATCCACTCGGGTCTGCCTGGCCCCATTATCCCACTCTCTGGAAATCAGCAAGTTAGCCAACACTACTGTGAGGTGCACACATCCCCTTCGGAAGTGAATATGCCTTGGCCATTGCTGCTGGTGGACTTGACTTTGTATTTCCAGCATCAACGGCTGTATGACTTCTGGTTCAACTTCATGTTGGCCAGCGGGGCGCTTGGATTTTAATAATCCTGAGAGCGTCCCTGATTATCCCTATTTGTCTTTCAAGTCCTCCAGCTATTGGAAATCATGTTTCTTCCTTTATTGAGTTCCTACTGAGCACAAATCCAGTATCCGAGAAGACAAGATACGCGACCTCAAGGAATGAAAGCTACCACACAATCAAGATAGTTTCACATTTACCACACGTAGCATGAAATGCGTCCTACACGAGTTTTTGCTCAGGATTTTCAAACTCCTGGGCCCGTGGTACTTGGTACCCCTGCTGGCTACAGCGCGGGGCGGTCTGCCTCGTTTCGCTCTACTGAGATCTAATTCAGATAATCTGAGATCTAATACAGATATGCCAGCAGTACACTCCGATACCCGCTCCGTGACAATCAGGAGCCGGTCCCCAGAGGCTGATGGCAGGCAGGGCTGCCCTCCCTTCGAAGAGACCCCCGCTCTGGCCCCTAAAGCAGACGAGACAACGCGCATGCGCGGCGGCCGGCCGCCGTCGGGCCGGGGACAGGCGCGGGCGCCCCCAGCCCCTCCGCTCCCAAGCAGCGCTCCCGGAGCTCCGGCAGCCTGCGGGGGGGAGGGCGAGAGGAATCCGACGTATTCAGGGACCTAGGCCAACTCCAAGAGACCTGAAGCGAACCCGGCTGGGCTACTCTCACGTCCCGCACGATCCGAATGCGGGAGCCCCGACGCAGAGCCCCACCCACCCGCGGCGCCCAGCCAATCCGAGACCCGTTCAGGGCCGCCACTCCCAACGCGCACGCGCTCGCGCACGCACTGCGCTCCCGCCCACATACCGGCTTCTGGCTTCTGATTGGATGACGCAGCCTGTGGACGGGACGTGTAGAATCCCGGCGGACGCGGTGCGCGGACTGAGGCCAGAAGCCGGTGGAGTTTGAGGGGTTCCGTGGTTTTCGGTGAGTGAGGCGCGAGGGCACTGTGGCCCGGGCGCGCGGCCGCGGCGGGCGGGAACCGGGGTCTGAAGGGACCTGAGCGGGGAGGGGTCCGGCAGGGGGCGGTGCCTGGGAGGGAGGGACGGGGCGACGCTCGAGTGCCGGGCTCCTGCGGAGGCGAAGGTCAGGGCGACAGGCGGGGCAGGGGCCGCCGGGCCGCGGGGTGAAGTCGGGGGGTGGTGAGGGGGGACGTGGCGTGCTGGGTGGACTTCGGGGGGCGCGGAGCCGGCAAGGTCACCGGAGAGGCGGAGGCGGGGCGGGGGGAGCTCCCATCGGGTCGCGCGGCCGGGCCGGGCCGGGCCGGGCCGGGCCGCCCACGCTGCCGGGGGAGCGGGAGAAGTTTCTTCCTGCCCAGCACGCCTGCCGGTGGAGACGGCGAAAGCCCAGCCTGAGGCCCCTGGCGTGATGCAGCGCGGTGCTCGCCTGCTCCGGCCCCTCCTGGGGGAGCGCCTGGGCTCCTCTGCGGGGCTGTCCCCAGAAGGACTCTGCTTCCGGAAGGACCGAGGTGCCCTCCGGGAGGACCGATGTCAAGCGAGCTCTTACAGGTCCACTGTGCGTGCTGTGTACCGGGGTTCCCCGGCTTCACTGTGCCCAGTCACTTTGAAAGGGCCCCTTGCAATGGCTTCCCGGCCCTGCCCCAGATTTGAAACCGAATTTCCAGGTCTGGGCCGGACCGCCTTCTTCAGCAAGCGGACAGGTGACTGATGCAAAATCAGTTTGAAACCAACTCTTAGAGTAGACAAAAGCTCCTGTGGCCAAAATGTCAGGTCGTGAAGGCCTTCAGACTGTGACATCCCCGGATGCTGGTTAGATCGTTGCCCTTTTACCTCTTATAGGTTCCCTTGTATTTGGGAAGGTTTTCAGTGGTGTGTTCTTTTCTTTCTTTCTTTTTTTTTTTTTTTTTTTTTGAGACAAGGTCTCACTCTGTAGTTCAGGCTGGCTTTGAACTCACTATGTTGCCCAGGTTGACCTCGAACTCGTGGTCCTTCTGCCACAGCCTCCCGAGTGGGAGTCAGCCCCGAAGCCCCAAGGAGGGACCCAGGTGCTCCCCCAGGAGGGACAAGAGCAGGCGATCACCGTGCTGAATCATGTCAGCTGGCCTCGTGCTGGGCTTTCCTGTTGCCACTGGCAGGTTTGATGGGTAGGAAGAAACTTCTCCCCACTCCACAGCTTCCTGAATGCTGGGATTACAGGCCTCCGCCGGCACGCCCAGCCTCAGTGATGTTTTAACTAAGAATAGTTCAAGTTCTACAAACTGTCTTTGACAGGTTATCCATCCCTTGTTTTGCATCTGATTGGCTGACAGAAAAAAAGAAATCAGGATGGGTGAAACACTAAAGCAAAATGTAGTGAAAAGATTTAAGATGATAATCTTTAGCTGGAGAAGTTAAATGGAGAAGATTCCGTGTAACTTTAGGCATGACGTATACATTCTTTACAAATCGAAGACACATTGTGGGCTGTTGTTCAGGAATGGCTTTTATATTTTCAGATTAAATTTGTACCAGCATCATCAGATTGATGATTTGCTAATTGTCAATCAAAAGAACCCTGGACCATGTATCAGGAGAACTGGGTTCTAATCTTACTTTGCCAGAGATATGTTCCTGGTGTTGAGCAATTCATATATCCTTTTAAAACCTTTTCCCTATTTGTCACATAAGGGTATCGATAATCATGTGGTTCATTTGTTACTCTCAAATTATGTCATTTGAGGTTATTGATCTGGAACATTTAAAAGAATAACTGAGTTTAAATAGCTGTAAATCATAAATACTTGGGAAATTTCTAGGTGGTAATTGAGATGATTATCAAAATTTTATATTTAAAATCTTTCAGATATATACTATGTTAGAATTAGGTAATTTATAGGATGATATAAAGCTATAATTTGAACTTAGAATTTCTAACAACTGTGATATGTGCTGGATTTTTTTAATAGTCATCTTTATTAATTTTATCCAGAAATGTGCACATGATGTGCTCTGTGTCCTTTAAAGCAAATAATAATCACAAATTCCCCACACCCTGATTCTTAACTGCAGAAAACCAGATCAAATGTCCTACCCGTAAAGCTTCAGTTTCTGTATCACAGGTGAGGAGGGGGGAATGAGAGCTTCTGTTCTTCTGTGCAGAGTTAAGAGAGAGTCGTCGTCCATCCTTGTGAAAGTAGGAAAAAACTTTCGCTCCACAGGCCTGCTGGACTTTCATGCACATTTGAAATAATTAGAGGAAAACTACCAAGTTTCTTGCTTTTTTTTGGTACCTGGGATCAAACTCAGGACCTTGCGCTTGAGAGTCAGGAGTGGAGCCACTGAGCTAAATCCCCAGCCCTCCAAATTTCTTGCTTTTAAAGACAATTCTCAAGTGATTCTTTTTTGAGGTTAGGAATAATTAAGGCAAAGTAGAGAAACATTGCACAAGTTTTTAGTTTTAAAAAGCATTGTGGTCTGTAACTGTTTTGTCTCTTGTGGTTCCAGGGAACCAAGACCTCCTCAGTTTATCATTTCTTTTTTCATAGATAAAATGTAAAACTGGTTAAAAAACACACACACTTAGATCTGTGGAGTCTGACTTTTTAACTGATTAAACTCTACAAATGTACAACTTTTTCACTATTTCTAAATAACTTGAGAATAATCTTAACTGTTGAGAAACATAACTTGAGGGGCCGGGGATTTAGCTCAGTGGTTCCGGCGCCTGCCTCACAAGCACAAGGACCGGAGTTCAATCCCTGGTACCAAAAAAAAAAAAAAAAAAAAAGCTCACTGAGAAACATAACTTTAAATGTATCCAAAAATCATTTTCTGGTACTTGTTGCATACAGGGCATTGCAACAGGTCATGGAGATAGATACAGATAGCTACAGACAGAGCAAGTAAAGGCCTTGGCTTCCAGGATTCCAGTAAAAGAAAAATTAAACTAATAGCTATAAGGGCTGCTACCCAGCTTCTATAGGATTGCATAACCAAAACACATCATAAATGTAGGGAATCAAAGAAGTCTTTGCAGAGGCCAGCTAAGATGCAAACCTGAAAAAGTAGGAGTTAGCTAGGAAAGTTCCTGCAGTTGGAAAGTGGGGAAACAGGAAAACTCTTGACTGGAAGGGCAGTCAGCTTGTGCAGAGGCTTAGAAGCATAGAGAGTGTCTCAAAGAAGTTTACAGTGTGGAGGTGGAAAGGAGATGAAAGGATTTGTAATGAACACAGTTATATCTGAGGAGTTTATGTGTGTGAATAAAGGCAGCTAATAAATATATCTGCCTAAAATACAGTGTCTAAGACCCTTCACCTAGTCCATTTATGCTATTTCTTCCAATCAAATCTTAAATGTTTATGAAACTTCTCAAACCTTTAGCTAAAGATATGAGTCCATCTAGAGTCAGTTCTCATTGTCTCTGCTATGTTATTGGTAATCACTTTCATCTCTTTTTAAAAAGTATGTCTATTTTGAATCATTAATTATTTTTGTATTTGTTTTAGTTTTTCAGATATAATGAGCATCCTGAACCTTGAGCTTATGGAACCTTGTACATAATAAAAGTTGAGGAAGGGTTTAGTCAGTTAGGAAGTAATGGCATATAAAAAAGAAAAGATCTAGTTCTTCTCTGAATTTTCTCATCTGGCTGAGGTTTTCTTCTCTGCCGGATGCCAACACTGACTCTCTTCAGTGCTGCTGAGGCTTGGGGGTACATTTTAAACTAAACATGCTGCCACCACCACCCCAGGGCTGCATTTTCAAGGGTGTTCTCTGCCACTGACCTTCCTAGAATAGCAGGCTCTTGAAGGAAGGTCTCCCTTACTGAAGGACATGTGCACATGGAAAATCCAGAGTGAAGGTCCTGTGTGGGCGATGGGATTTGGCTTTGAGTTTTGTAATGGGCGCTAATCGAAGACTTGTTCCTTGCATACTGTGCTTGACTCCCGTGTGTTACCTATGAGTGAAGCTCACTGTCAGTTCACAACTGAATACACAGTCATTGTGACAAAGGTGAATTGAATTTGTTGCTGCCATGTTGTGATGAATGCCCACACCCTCCTGAATAGAGAAGATCCCCGAATGGGGCAGAGCAGCCTTTGCTCCTTCTGACAATGAAGATGACGGTTTTTACCTGCCCCCTTATTCATACAACTGTCAGGCTAGTATCTTGCTTTTTTGGGGTACCATTTAAAGAACTGATACTATAAAAAGAAGGCAGAGAATTTTAAGGAGGAAGCCTGGAGAATGTGAGGAGGATTTGTCAAAGAAGGCAAATCTGAAGTTTAGAAGATACCTGTTCAATGAAAAGACCCGAGGCAGTTCCATTTTGTGCTGTGGTGATGTTTGATAACCCAGAGAAACCCGAAGGCTATATGGTTTATTCACTTAAACATATTTAAAAGGAGCCATGTCTAGCAACGTTATTTAAAATAAATCGTTGTCTCTAAAAGGAATAAATAATAAGGTAAACATTTTAGCTATTCAGAATGACTGTACTCTTATCCCAAAAGACAAGCATCATCAGTAGTAGAGATTAGTGTAATGGGTTGCAAACTATTCAGAGATGAGAACTGAAGCCAGGCAGCAAGTAGTTGAGGGCAGTGGGTCTGCACTTAGCTACACTTGAGAGCGGTTAGTAGGGTTCCCAGCATGATCGTGGACAGGCGGCAGGAGCGACTACTGTGGTTGAGTAACTAGAAATTGTCAAGTTGAAGTTGGGTAGAGAAGAAGATAGCCAGAAAATTAATAGCTGGTCCTGTAATTGATGAAATTTTAATTTTTTAAAAAATTGTACTGTTTTTAACAATATGTTAAAAAGGAATTGGTATATATAACTCTAAAAGTGGCTATAGATTAAAAATAGTTAATTTCAAAAAAAATTTTTTAATTCATGGATAACACCAGGTTTTTCATGGAAACTAGGATATTTTGAGTTCATTCAGGTATTTAATAATGTCTATATGGCTCTAATTACAGAATCTCATAGAAATTCTCTTTCAGGAAGATTCTTCAGTCACTATGTCAAGCAACACGGATGTTTCTCTTTCTTCATACGATGAAGATCAGGGATCTAAACTTATCCGAAAAGCTAAAGAGGCGCCATTTGTCCCTCTTGGTATGTTTGATCTTGACGTGGTAATAATTGTGCTATGTTTGAAACAACAAAAGCGAGGTAAACTTGTTCCATGAGCATAACCTGAAAGAATTTACTTTCACATTTGATTGTTGAAATATGCTGTGATGGTGTTATATAAATCCCATCACAAAATTCCTCTTTGTATATTCAGATATCTTGTTCTTTTGTTTTCAGTAAATAATGTTTTGGGGGATTCCAAGACCACCCTCAGACTCATTGATTTGCCAGGACTCAGACTCATGTTATAGTCATGCTTATGGTTTATTAGAGGGTACATGGGTACAAGTTAAAGTCAACTTGCATGCAATCCCCATGAAGGCCTTGTGACACATATAAAAAATAAAACGACATGATCATCTCCAGGGATTTAAAAATCAGCACATTAGAATAGAGTTTACTCTAGAAACGAAAAGCAAATAGCAATTACACTTAGTGTTGAAACCCTAGAAACATTCCCTTTAAAGTCAGGAATGAGCCAGGGATACACGTGAACATTGCTGTTGTTTGGAACTCCTTAACAGTGCATAAGACATGAGAAAACTAGAAAAACAGCTAGAACCAATCAAGAGAAAAAATTGCTGTCATGAAAACATCTAGGAATATCTAAGACCCAGAGAAGTTAAAACTATAAATTTACACTGAAGGACATGAGATTTGAGGGGAATAGATGTCCCATAGTCTAAGATTTCCAGGCTCCTGCAGTTCTGTTTCTCATTCCTAATGTTTTATACTGTATGTTTTTTCTCTGTCTTTGACCTGACTTTTTAGAAGTTTGGCAGCTGTCTATTCTAAGAACCACTGCTATTGTTCTTTGGGTTGCTAGTGTAATTGTCTGAGTTTCCTAATTGCACAGGCTTTACTTTAACCTCAGAATCCAGATAGAAGCATCTCTCTTCTCAGAGGTTAGCAGTGTGTATTTAGGGCTATTTTATATTTTGGGTGATTTTGGTTTGTATGAATGCAGTCTAAGAATATAGTCTTTTTAGAATTTGGAATATGTGTCTTAATAATTGACTGTGTTTTGTCAGTTCTATAGCTGTTTGAAAGAAGGTATGATCTCTGTCATAAATTAAAATACTAAATTATGATTCATTTAAAAACGTTAAATTTAAGCTTATTTAATGGTGTTATTCTAAAAGAGACATGTTACTTTTTCCTATTTTATCTTCTGTTATAATACCCATGTGTTGCTAACCATTTTTGCTTCATATGTGCTATTGTTATATTGATTACATTATTTAAAACTTTATTTTAAAAGTTTATGACTTTTTAACTCTTGCATGTCATACTTCTGTCTCCTATACAAACTATATGTCCAGGTTTTGTTTTTCTTAACCCAGTAGAGGAAGTGAACTCACATTAATACTTACCCTAATAAGCTTTCTCAGTTTTATTTCTACTATCTAATTTATGTTTTCTGTTTGTTATACTTTTGTTCCCTTTGTTTTTATTTTTCTTGTAATGATTTGGAAGTTCTGTTCCAATACTGCTGGTGATTATTTTTACATTATTAATTGGGATATAATTTTTTTCATTTTCAGTATTAAGATGAACATACATTTATTTTCTAACTTAAGACTTTTAGCACTCATATCTTTGTTGTAGCAGTTATAACCTTAATTCCAGGTTAATTTTCATCGCTAATTTTTCTATATTACACTCATTTTGAAGGAACCAGTATAGCTTTTACTAGCTTTATTACTATTATATCTCACACATGACTCCTATTTATTTTCTTCTCATTTCTTTTCTGCTCACATCTTCTTCCTTCTCCTTTCCTTCCTTTCTTTTTCTTAGACAGAGTTCCAAGGCTGAGCTCAAACTTGTGACCCTCCTGCCTCCACCTCCCAAGTGCTGGAGCTACAGGCCTGTGCCACTGTGCCCGGCCAGTGCATTTGTTTCTTACGCTGCTTTGATCCGCTTTTTCCATTTGTCTGGATTCTTTCCTCGGGGTGTTTGTGTGAGGACACAAAGGGTGTACACTTTGCAAACACGCATGGTCATGCTCTGAATGTTTCTGCCATCAAAGTGAATGGAGCTTGGCTCTGCGGGGAGCTTATAATCCTGTATCAGAGCCATAACATGCAGCCTTGTCTTCTGCACTGTACAGTTACCTTCAGGAAGGAAGGTGGAACAGAGAGTGAGAGTTAGAAATTCATCCCATAACTGAAGATAGATACTCAGCGCACTCGTTTTGTTGTAATGATCATTTATTAGCTTAATTCCCTGGTGCTCTCTGAAAGGAATTTTTTGTATGTACTGGCTTCACAAACACACACACTAGTTTTTGTTTTGTTTTGTTTTTTCCTTGGAGGTGAGGGTCTGGCTAAGTCACTTGCGTCGCCCAGGCTGAGCTGGAACTTTCCATCCTCCTGCCTCAGCCTCCCAGAGTGCAGGGTTTGCTATTTTGCTGAGAAAAAAATTAAAAGTTCTGTAAATTAGCAAAGTAATGGTCCCATAAGCCCTCTTGTAAAAATAATAGCAAGTAGGGCCGGGGATTTAGCTCAGTGGTTTCACCGCCTGCTGCGCAAGCGCAAGGACCCGAGTTCGATCCCCGGTACCAAAAAAAAAAAGAAGAAGAAGAATAGAAAGTAGATTGATGGCATAGTCCACTTGGTTTCCTCCCCTGATACCCTAACACACTGTGACTGCTTGTTTTACAGGGATGGCGGGCTTCGCAGCAATTGTTGCATATGGATTATACAAACTGAAGAGCAGGGGAAACACTAAAATGTCCATTCACCTGATCCACATGCGTGTAGCAGCCCAAGGCTTTGTTGTAGGAGCAATGACCCTTGGTAGGTTCCTAAGGAAATTTTCAAATTTGTAGTCAGTGCAATTCTTTTTTTTTCTTTTGGTACAGGGAATCAAACTTGGGACCTTGCGCTTGCGTGGCAGGCGGTGGAACCACTGAGCTAAATCCCCGGCCCTGCAATTCTTTATAGACAGAACAAAGTAGATGGTTTTAGTTGACATTGAAGTAGTTTAAAAATATCACTTATTTTCATGCAAAAATAATTAAAGTAGTTTTACTGTGATGTATATCAAGATATATAGAGAGTGAGGGAGATTCTATAATATAGTCTAAGATTTTTTTACAAAGGAAAAATCCTTTTCACTACTGATTTTATAATTTCATTGAGGGTGTATACATGCAGACAGGGTTGGTGGTAACATGTTTTATGACAAAGACGTGTGATTGGTATTTTACTGAGTTTTTGAAGGTGGGAGAGATTGTCTTTTAAAGTGTGGACATTAACATGCTTTTGTTGCCATTATCATTTATTTATCTGGTATTATATAACAAGATTGACTCCTTTTAAAGATGCCAGGTATTGATTGTTCTTTAAAAAAATATTTCAACACTGTGAATGAGTCATACTGGCCTTGAGTAACTGTAGAAATTTATATATAAAAAGAGTTTCAGAAATTTAAGTTATTGAAGAACGCAAAAATGTAATCCTCCATGGGTCTTGTTCCCCCCACTAGTAGTCGGTGCAGGCTAGTTTTAGGTGGCATATTGGCTATTCTGTCAACTGTTTTGTTTTCTCTTAATGTTGAAGGAGATTGCAGTGCCTAACTCACTTTCTTTCTCTTTAGGTATGGGCTACTCCATGTATCAGGAGTTCTGGGCAAAACCTAAACCTTAGAAGAAGAGACGCTGTCGTCTTTTTGGAAGCAGTTGTTTAGTTAGACATCTCATGTTGTGGTTACATATTTGTGTCAAAAATAAATCATTTGAGTTGTTTGGACTGTATTATATAGTATTTTGAATAATGGTTTTTTCCTTGCAGACTTGATGACCAAGTGAGTAGTGCCTAGTTCACGAACTGGGTCATTCAGGGAATCAAATGAAAGAATCATGTCACCTAAAAGCACTCAATAGTGTTCAAATGTCCACCTTTCTTTTTTTTGGTACCGGGGATCGAACTCAGGTCCTTACATATGCGAGGCAGGTGGTGGAACCATTGAGCTAAATCCCTGGCCCCTATGTCCACCTTTCTTAAAGCCTCATGACAATTAGTTCTAAAGAAGACAGCAGGACACCCCAGATGGACTCCTGGTCTACTGCCGGGTATCACATGCCTTGCATGTTCTGTAGGAGTCCTGTTGCCCTCAGTTCAGCTTTTATCTGTGCCCTCTGGACTCGTGTGAGAACTTCAGTTTTTAGGACTGCCTGGCTCTTGAAGAACTCTTTCAAAACATGCATGGGAAGGGCCGGGGATTTAGCTCAGTGGTTCTGCCACCTGCCTTGCACGTGCAAGGACCCGAGTTCAATCCCTGGTACCAAAAGAAAAAAAAAAAATGCATGGGATATAACATACAAACCCTCAACTGTGTGTGCGTGCATGTAAACCTAGAAAACTTCACATCAGAGCTGCATAGAAGAAGTATTTATTTCAGAATCACACTTGTAAACATGCGAATAGTTTAATTATGGATTCCACTTGAGCTCTTTTATAATTAAAATTATATTTTTGTTGCAGTTGTATTAGAATAATTTTTAAATGTCATCTTGAAATAGAAATATTTAAGTGCTAATACACAGATAAATGAACACTTTTTAAATATGTGCAGTATGTTTCTTTGTAATAATTGTAAATGCTAAACACTTTATCCAAAATGGAAATGACTAGTAGTTTATGAGCAAGCTGGTTTGGTCAGACATTACACACAAACTTCAATATACTATGGAGTGCTTGTAAATACTTGTAAAATTCTCTTGTCTAACCTGAACTTACATTCCCCGGTGATAACATGGTATATATGTCGTGTTATTAAAGTAGGTGAACATATCAGATGTCTTGCATTTATTTCAGTTTGGAAAAAATCATTCATCAGAGGAGCACAAAAATTGGGTCACAAGAAATAAAATCTTGAGAGCCGGGTGTGGTGGTACATGCCTGCAATCCCAGCATTCAGGAGGCTGAGGCAGGAAGATTACTGTGAGTTTGAGGCCAGCCTGAACTACATAGCCAGACCCTGTCTCAAAAAAAGAAAAGAAATAAAACCTTTTCTCCCTTTAGTAGGAACCACAATTAAAGATACCTACCAAATAAAAATAATGGTTGACAGTTTACTGAGCATTTGCTGTGTGCCTCACACTGACCTAAGAACTCTTGTGGTACAATGTCAGTAAAGTTTCCTGACAACCCTGAGAGGTGGGAACTGTGATTCTCATTTCACAGTGAGAAGCTGAGGTAACTTCCTGTCGGTCATGGCCAGGGGGGTGTAAAGCTGCTCTGGACCCTGGCAGTCTGGTTTGATAACCTGTTTGCCTGCCTGGCTATACTTTTCTTCCCCACCTTGACCCCCTTTGGGTCAGATGAGATTGTCCTTGAAGAAGATTCTGAAGCACTTTTTTTTTTTTTTTTTTTAGAAAATCCCAGGAATGTTAAGTAATGTAGGCGCCAACCAGTGTTAGGGATTTTAAGTGCTCGCCTGTATAAAATTATTGCTGGAATGGCAGCAGTTATCATAATGGATAAAATTACCCAAGGCTTTGCAGCATGGTCCTAACTCACTAATCACTGTCACGGGCGTTTCTTGTCCTTTTCCTGTCTATAGAATGAATGCTTGGGCGGCATAACTTCTGTGGTCTTGTCTGAGGTCACTGTAGCTCTGTGAAAGTGCTTTAAAAGTATAAGGTACTATTATCAAGACCTGTTTTCTTAGCTTTAATAAGCGTGCAAGGTGCTTGTAGACAGACCTAAGCATTGTCTTATGAAAGAGAAGCCTTAGGGGAACAAGATTTAGAAAATGCCCCCGTTGTTCCTCCTTTAATTATGTTTGGCTTCCTCTACATTCCCAGCAGTAATCTCGCAGCTGGCAGAATTCAGTGATTTAATCGTTTCCCCAAGAAAGACTTAGGAAACATGAAATACAAATGAAAGGAAATAAAAGACTTAGGAACAAGTCCTCTACATTTTTGCATGTTCAAATGTTTATCTGTAGCCATTGCACACTGAAAACAATTTAGATGTAAAATCCTTAGTATACACTTCCATTGGGGATGTATTGCAATAAAAAGCCTAAATCATGTGACATTGTCTCTAAGTCACTGATTGGGTTTTTGTTTTTGCTTGGGCGCTCAAGAAATGGAAAGTCCAGTAATTTCCATAACATTAGTCTTGATGTTGACCTTTCTGGGCTGATGTTCTCTGCATTTTCAGGAAATTGTTCTAATAGGTAAGTATGCTATTGATTTTGTTTAGATAAATGCTAATCTCAGAATCATCCCTCGAGAAGGTAATGAGAGAAGAGTAGTGAGGTGCTAAGGTGGTGGAGAGCGTTCTCAGTTAAGAGGAAGGGAGCAGAGTTGCCCACCGGAAGAAGAGTGGTGGACTAGGTTGGGTGCACAGGACGGCATCTGGTTACAGGAGTTCTTAAACATGGCTTGTGGGGATGAGGCGGTGTGTTTTCTCGGATGAGACCTGGTTCATGGTTTGCCACTCCTAGCCAAGTAGCTGTTTTCTGTAAAACGGTGATGCTACCAGTGGCTTAGGGCTGTAGATTAAAGGTGGTGCAAGTGTAAAGGGCTGGCGTGGCATGCGATGAGCATTGGTAAACTCACTAGGTGGTTGCTAGAGCCAGTGTGCTAAGTACAGGAACTCAGCAGCCCTCAGGATCAGAAGGCTGGCATTGAATGGTGACCACACAAATGTGACTGTGGTACAGGATACAGCAGGACATCTGGCCCAGGGCTGAGGTGGGAAGCAGTCCACCATCAGGAACTGGTGTGTTGATTGGCTTAGCGTTGGGTGTTGTTGGAACGTGGTGTGTGATTTCCCGGGCCTCCCCGGCAGCTGTGTCTGAAGGCATGTGGTCTTTTTCATCCATCCACCTTACATTAGTGCCTGGTTTATGTAAGTGTTCAGTGTTTGTTGAATGAGTTAGAATAGGCTTTGTGTTTTTACATTCAGGAGCCCACTGTCCCTAGAAGAGAGTCACAGCTGGCTCTTCATATCTCCAGGTTCTACAGCCACATGTGAAAAGCATTTTTTAATTGCCTGAACATAGATTTTCTTACCACAATCCCTAAACATAACAGTTACTTACATAGCATTTACTTCCTGATCTGCAGAGTGTATGGGAGGATATGCATCAGCCACAGGCGAATACTGTGCTGCTTTATGTAAGGGACTTGAGAATCTCGGTTTGTAGCCTGGAACCAATCCGCTGCAGTTAAGCAGGGTTGACTTCCTATTTCTAGTTCCTGAGCAGCAGTGACCTCTGGTGGTGAGAGTTGGAATGTGACCCCACTTTCCTAACCTCCCAAAGCAATTTGTTTCAGAGTCAGAATCTTGGAGACCAGGCCTCTTGTCTCACAGATAAACTTCTGTTCAAAGAATTTCAGGGACTTGAAATTTATGCTCTCTCCCCATGCACACCTACAGCCTGTCACATCATAGCTACTAGGTCAGAGCAAAGCCGAATGAGCATAAATTGTGTTAGTTACATGTCCAAGGGCTGCCACTAATTCTGTATATACATGTCCTGTGTGGAAGTTCTTCAGATCTGAGGGGAAGCAAACTGCCAGCCTGGACTGCAGCATCATTTTCCAGTGAGTGCTTTCCCTGGGCTCGACTCATGAAAGACCCAGCACGACTCACACAACCCGGTTCCATTCCTGGATGAAAAGCATGCTTTCCCCTTAGCCACCAAGGTGAGGCCAGTGTCCCCTGAACTGAGGACTGATACGTGGGCGTGGAGTAGAGGCCACGTCCAGCTGGTCCCCTCAGAGCAGGAGCCCAGGAACAAGGCCTCTCTGGTACTGTGTGCTTCTTACAATGGCATTCGGTCCTTTTCTATCCTCAGCATAACTGAAGGGTTGGAGAGTGACTAAAATTTGCCATCGCCCTTTTCAGTTGCAGTCCGTACCTAATCTCACCTGATCTTCAGCCACATTTGCTGTCTTCCTGCTGGTGGCCCTTCTGAAGCCCTCGTTTCTCTCACCAGTATGTGCGTCTTCCCTGGCAACCCCTGGCTCAGCTCTTACGGTAGCTTCCCTTCCTCTGTGTCATGGTTAGGCCGATCCCCACATCCTATCAGTTTCCATAAGCAGGCTTGTCATTCATTTGTGCCTTTTCCTCACAATGTTGCCACCACTTTAGACCAAGGCCCTTTGCCTCCTGCTTCTGCCACCTGGTACTGGTTAATATTTGTTTCATTCTGTATAAGGAGGAAACCGAGATCGGTCTTTACTATGGCGGTGGTACATGAAATACTAGTAAGTGCATAAGGCGTTAAGACCCGGTCAGGAGGGGAGGAACTGGTCATTAAGGAGACTGGGTGACATCCAACCAAGTGTTTTTGAAAGACTGTGATATGAGCCAAGAGTGGGATTGAGAAATTTGGAAGGAAAATAAAAACACAGCACCAGGCCCTTGTGCTGAAGGCTTGGTGGACAGCCAGGGTGATCTCGTCCATCTGGTCCCTCGGAACCAGGCTGCAGACTCTTGGCAGGATCTGAGCTTTCTGGTAGACTTGTGGGCATGATCAAGCTCACCAACCACACAGACACATCTTAGACAAATAGTTCCATGGATTAACGAGACTTGGTTCTCCAAGATGACACTGGGCTAAAACAAAATGTGCTGGGGGGGCCGGGGATTTAGCTCAGTGGTTTTGCCACCTGCTGCGCAAGTGCAAGGACCTGCGTTTGATCCCTGGTACCAAAAAAAAAAAGTATAATCCAGAAAAAGAAAGTGGTAAGTTGGGCCTCATAAAAACCGAAACCTGCTGTTCTGTGAAAGCCCATGTGAAGAGGACTAAAACACAAGCTACAGCTTGGAAGAAAATATTTGCAAACCATATATGCAACAAAGAACTAGTGTATAGAATATATAAAGAATTCTTGGCCTGGGATTTAGCTCAGTGGTTCCGCCACCTGCCTCGCAAGCGCAAGGACCCAAGTTCGATCCCCAGTACCAAAAAAAACAAAAAACAAAAAAAGAATTCTTGCACCAGGCATGGTAATGCATGCCTTTAAGCCCAAGACTTGGGAGGCTGAGGCAGGAGGGTTGCTGTGAGTTCAAGGCCAGTCCAAACAACATGGAAAGACCGTATCTTTTTTTTTTTTTTTGGTACTGGGGATCGAACTCGGGACTTTGCACTTGCGAGGCAGGTGGCGGAACCACTGAGCTAAATCCCAGGACCAAGACTTTATCTTAAAAAAATACAAAAACTCAAAATTCAACAGCTAGAAATTGGGCAAAAGACATGAATGACACTTCCCCAAAGAACAGTTCCACACCTCATAATGATATTTCAGCCAGCAATAGGCTGCATGCATGACAGAGGTATTTCTGCGAAGAACATCATACTGGCATTTCTGAAAAGTGCCACCTCTTCAAGAAGAGCCTCAGACAGGAATTCAGGAGGGTTCCAGAAGAAGACACCATCACAGGGTGACAGCTGTGTGTGCCGTTCCCCTCGAGACCTGCCGGTGGGACAAGATGGGACCTTGCTGCCCCTGACCCTGAACCATCCAGGCTCACGTGCATGCCAGTGTCTTTGGTGCTTTAAGAAAAAAGCTCTTACAATTAGAAAATGAAATTGAGAAAAAGCTTATAAGAACAAGGAGATAAAGAAAATATTTTGTAGGGGCGGGGACTTAACTCAGTGGTTTTGCCACCTGCTACGCAAGTGCAAGGACCCGAGTTCGATCCCCAGTACCAAAAAGAAAAAGAAAAGAAAATATTTTGTAATCCCAGCACTCAGAGGCTGAGGCAGGAGACTGCATGGCCCACTTAGTGACTTAGTAAGACTCTGCCTCAAAGTAAAATAAATAGGGGTAGGGGGTGTAGCTCAGTGTAAAGACCCCGAGTTCAAGGCCCAGAACTGACAAAATGTTTTTTCGCATATAAGTGTTTGCTTTAAGCTAAGTGTTATTACAAGAGGCAGAAAGTTTTTTAAAATTAAGTTTATGAAGGAAAAAAGTTATGGTAAGGTAAAGTTAATTTTTTATTGACGACAAAAAATATTTTTATTTTTCTTTTTTTTTTTTGGTGCCGGGGATCGAACTTGGGTCCTTGCACTTGTGCAGCAGGCAGCAAAACCACCGAGCTACATCCCCGGCCCACAAAAACTATTTTTCTATAGCCACAGTGTAGCCTAAGTGTCCAGTGCGTGTGAAGTCTGCTGCAGTGGACGGTCGCCTCCACATTCGCCGCCCACTGCCTCCCAACTCGCTCTGGAGCAGCGTCCAGCCCATGCAGGTCCAGTGCTTTCTGTCTCATGTTTACTCTACCTTTTCTACGTTTACTTACATTTAAATAAATACCAGCGTGTGACAGTTGATCACAGTGTTCTGTACAGGAGTGTGGTGTACAGGCCTGCAGCCCACAGGAGCAACAGGCTATGCGACACAGCCACGGTGCGTAGTCAGGTACCCCATGGGGGTTTGCATACATTCACCCTATGATGTTCCCAACATGCCTCGATCACCTAGCAATGCATTTCTCTACACATCCCCATCATCAAGTAAAAGGTGACTGCACAGGCGATCAATAAGCACATGGAAAATGTTCAACATCATCATCATCATGCACAACACCCACGGTGAGATATCACTGCACACCCAATAAAATGGCCAAAATAAAAACACTAAATGCTGACAAGGGTGTTGAGAAATGAGTCACATATATAATTCTGTAGGAATGTAAAATGGTATAGTCACTCTAGAAAACTGCTTGGTGATTTCTTGTAAAACTAAGTATAGAATTGCCTTTCTGCTAGCAACTGCACCCTTGGGGATTTATTCCACAGAAATGAAAACTTATGTTCACCTACACAAAAACCTGCACATGAATGTTTACAGCCACTGAATTATAATTTCCCCAAACTGAAAACAGCCCAGATGTCCCTCAATGAGTGTGTGGTTAGAAAATCATGGTATTGGGCTGGGGATTTAGCTCAGTGGTTTTGCCACCTGCCGCGCAAGCACAAGGACCTGAGTTCGATCCCTGGTACAAAAAAAAAAAATAGTGGTATATCCATACCATAGAATACGACTCAGCAATAAAAAGGAATGGATTATTGATACAATGTGATGAATCTCCAGAGAATTATTCTGTTTTAAAAAATGTTAAAAGATTACATGCTATATTGTTCCATTTATATAACATTTTGAAATGACAATGTTAGGAATAGAAGGCAGCTTCATGAGGGGTGAGGGCTGGGAGCAGGGGACACAAGGGAAGCGGACATGGTTATACCAGTGCAGTGGAAGGACCCTTGTGATATTGTTTAGCATATTAACTGGTGGCTACACAACCTATACATGATAAAATCGTATACAATTATTATTATTATATTTGGGGGGGGTACTGGGGATCGAACTCGGGTCCTTGCGCTTGCGCAGCAGACGACGAAACCACTGAGCTAAATCCCCAGCCCCATATACAATTAAAAACACATGAAGAGTGAATGCAGTAAAACTGGGCAAATCTTAAGATCTGTCGATTTTATCAAGGTCAATATCGTGGTTGTGATATTGTCCTATAGTTTTTCAAAATGTTACCACTGGGTGAAACATGTAAGGAATATGGGGACCTCTGTATTGTTTCGAACAACTGTATGTGTAATCTGTGATAATCCCCCCAAAATTTTCAGATTAAACCAAATCAACATAAGCAGCCCTAATACGCAGGGGGCACCTGTTCTCCATCCTTAGCGTAGCCGCAGAATGTTCTCATCTCAGTGGAAACCTGGGGTGCAGGGCTCTCCAGAAGCCCTTAGTAGGCCTCTCTTAGCCCGTGCCCACAGCCCTGCTTCCCCACACTATCTTGTCCCTTTGCCCTTGCAGATTTCCACGTCACTCAAGCGCAGCTCCACGGGCAGGCAAGGGGAGAACAACCAGAAAGACCCGATCTTCTTTAAACAGAACGCCTTAAATAGTAAGCCTGGGGGAGCTGACCCTGGCCTAAGTATGGGGCATTAACTTAGGACAAAAATTAACTTCAAGATACCTCAATGTTAGAGCGTTGCAAGCTTGCTGGAGAAATGGACCTGACCCGTTAATTACAAACTCCCAGGACACGGGTGCAGAAGAGTCCCCAAAGCCCTGCACGCGGAACCAATCAGTGTGCTGTCTTCACTTCTCGCGAGTACTCAAGCAGGCTTCTGATAGGACGGCCTAGACCTGACGTCAACCTGCGGAGTGACATTGTGCTCCTGGCCCGTGCCCTCTCCTCCACAGTGGTCTGCCCTCAGGATGTAAAGTGTACTTTCTTCCTACTTTTACTTGGCCCAAACTCACTCTGCAGAGCACGTTTATTTTCCTGCCTTTAATAAACATAAAACCTCTCTACCTTTTGTGCTCGTTTTGTCCAATTCTTTTTGTGATCATGGTATCTCCCCTGCCAGGTTAAGTATGTTTTGTCCAGTTCTTTGTTCAAGACCAGAAGAACTAGAAACCACCTCTGGAAGGAGAGCCTAGAACCTCGTAACGCGAAGATTTTCAATTTATAAAAGCCTGCGTGACTATCGAAGTCTCCCTGGATCAGTTTTCCTGAAACTTTGCCTCCCACCCCTTTATGGCCCTGAAATACAGTAGTGTATTATTGTAATAATAATAATTATTATTATTATTATTGGCGGTACCGGGGATCGAACTCAGGACCTTGTGCTTGCGAGGGAGGCGCGGTGCCACTGAGCTAAATCCCCAGCCCGAGTAGTGTATTAAATTGGGGAGCACGTTTTCCTTTAGGAAAAGGAATCACATTTGTTATTTTTTTAAAATCCTCTAAGGTGCAAAACTAAAAACATCAATTCCATCTCTCAAATATAACCCCTTTTCATTTTTACTGCAGTCTTGTTTGGATGCCAAGTTTGAAACACAACTTGGTTCGCTTAGCGTTTCTATCTTGAGTCTTTTCTTTCTATTTTTTCCCCTTTTCACTACCGTAAACTTCACTTTATTTTACGTTTTTCAAAAAAACTGAATGGTTACGTTCAATTTCATGGTGAAATCGTCCGTTTTCCAACTCCCTTGCAGGACAGCAGAATGTGCAGAGGCTAAAGGTCTGATCCATAACACTCTTTAAAATACCCTTCAGAAAAAAAAAAAAAAGTCTCAAGGGTACGATGCCCTTTGTCCAGCCCACCACGCCTGTTTTCACAAAGCCTCAAGCTGGCCAGCGGCGCCGGTCACTTTCAAAACTTTCTGGTCTCTGTCGCTCCCCGTAGAGGCGTGATGACGTCTTGCTCGCTACGTTACTGGTTTCCCTGGTGACGGTTGCCAAGGCAGCAGATGCAGGCGTCCGGAAGAGGGAACCCGGCCCAGCAGTCCGAGGTCCTAGAAGGGAGAAGCAGCGAGACGGCTGTAAGTGCGAGGAGGGCGGCCGGGCCGGGCCGGGCTGGGCTGGAAGCGGAGCCGGGCTCGCCGCTAGCCCTGTGGCTCCACACACACCGGGTCCCCTCCCCGGGCGGTCGCGCGGTCCCGGGGCTGGTGGGGAGCTGAGGCTCGCTCGGGGTCTTGTGCCCTACCGCGCTGTCCTCCGGCGCGGCGCGGCGTCTCCCAGCCCGGGCGGGCGTCGGCAGGGCAAGGAGACCTCTCGTCCCTGGGCGCGCGCCTGGCCAGCGGTCCAGCAGGGGTCGGCTGGGCACCTCCCGGCGTCTGCCGCCGCCCTGGGACTTCGGGCTATTTCTAGGAATCCGGAAGAGAACGGAGAGGGAGAGGGAAAGTGAGGAGCAAATAAGGTGCCTGCATGCGGGAGGACGGCCCCGTCAGTCCTGCACTGGCCGCGTCCCCTGTGCACGCCGCAGCTTTCCAACGGGACCCCTGAGTGGGAGCCACGCGCCCCACCGCACGGCTCCCAGTCCTGCCTGAGTACACAGTTCTTTCCATCTAGCCTTAGTCCTACTTAAAAAAAATACTTAATTGACTTTATTTCTTAAATCAGTTTCAGATTTACAAAAAAATATCGAATAGAAAACAGAATATATATATATATATATATATATATATATGAGATAAGCTTATATTGATAACGTTGTAATTGAAGCCCACAGGTTACATTAGGGTTTACACTATTGGTTTTGGTAAATGCACAATGCCATGTATCCACCTAAAATACCATACAGAATATTTTCACTGCCCTAAAAATCCCCTGTGCTCCATTGTTTATTTCTCCTCCTACCCCTGTTCCAACCCCTGGCAACGACAAATCTTTTATTTCTCTATAGTTTTGCCTTTTCCGAAGTGTCATACAGTTGCTAAGTTGTGATCATATAGAATAACCTTTTCAGACTGGCTTTCTCACTTAGAAATATGCATTTATGTTTCCTGCATGTCTTTTTTTGACAGCTCCTGTCTTTTCATCACTGAATAAAAATTCCTCTGTGTGATTGTACCAGTTTATTTGTTCACCTATTGAAGTACTTCTTGGTAGTTTCTGATTTGGGGCAACTATGAATAAAGCTGCCACAACATTTCCTATGCAGGTGTTTGTGTGGACATAGTGTTCAGTTCATATGGGTAAGGTTATTTTAGCTTTGAAAATGACTATCATCTTCCAAAGTGATTCTATCATTTGAATTCCCACCAGCAATGAGCGTTCTTGTTGCTTCCTATTGCCAGCCTATACTGCCACCAAATACTGATATTTGGTGGTGTCCATGTTCTCGACTTTGGCCTTTCTACAGGCTATGTAACGGTATCTCATTATTGTTTTAATTTGCATTTCCTAATGAATTATGTTGTCAGGCATCTTTTCATATACTTATTTGCCATCAGCATATCTTGTGGTGTTTGTTCAGATCTTTTGCCCACCTTTTACAAAGTTGTGTATTTTCTTATTAAGCTTTAAGAGTTTTTTTTTTCCATGTTTTGGACTCAGTTGTTTATCAGGTACATTTTGCACATCAGTTTGTTTTCATAGATTATACTTCTGGTATTAGAGCTGCACTACCAAATCTAAAGTCACCTAGATTTTCTTCTATATTGTCTTCTAGGAGTTTTGTAGTTTTGCATTTAATATTTAGGCATATAATCATTTTGAGTTAATTATTTTGTAACAGGTTTAAGGCCTGTGCAGATTAATTTTTTTGTATATGGGTACATTTGTTCCTGTACCATTTGTTGAAAAGACTGTTCTTTCTCTACTGGATCACCTTTCTTTCTTTGTCAAAGACCAATTGACTATATTTATATGGGTCGGCTTCTGGCTCTCTCTTAATTCCTCAGATTTGTCTTTTCTTTCACCAATACCACACTGTTTTGATTAATGTAGCTTTAGAGTAATTCTTGAAATTAGAAAGCGTTCTATATTATGTGGGTATTCTGGATCCTTTTCCTCTTCACATAAACTCTAGAATCAATTTGTTAATATCCACAAAGTAACTGTCTGTAGTTTCGGTTGGGATTGCATAGAACTGACATCTCTGACAATATCGAATCTTCCTATCCATGAATATGAGATATCTACTTCCTTAGTTCTTTGATTTGTTTCATCAGAATTTCATAGTTTTCCTCATATAGATCTTACATATATTTTCTTGGATTCACACCTATTTCAGTTTTTTTTCAGTTAATGGTGTTATGTGTTTTCATTTCAAGTTCCGATTGCTGATTGCTGGCACTTAGGAAACCATTGGACTTTCATGTATTAATTTTGTATTTTGCAACCTTACTATAATCACTGAACCTTGTGAGTTTGTTCATTCTTAGGATTTTCTACATAGACCATCATGTCATTTGCAGACAAGACAGTTTTATTTCTTCTCTCCCAATTTCTGTCACTTATTTCCTTTTCTTGTCCTATTTCATTAGTTAGAACTTCTGGTATGATTCGAATAAGAGTAAAGAAGGGCTACTTTTGCCCTGTTTCTGGTCTTAGGTGGAGGCATCTAATTTCTCACCACAAAGTCTGATGTTAGCTATGGGCTTTTTTGCAGATGTTCCTTACCGAGTTGAAGAAGTTCTTCTTTTTCCTAGTTTCTTAGAGTTTTTAGTTTTTAATCATAAATGGGTGTTGGAACTTCGTAAATCTTTTTCTGCATCTATTAATGTGATCATGTGAATTTTTTCATCTTAACCTGTTGATATTCCAGATACGTTAATCGGTTTCCTAATGTTAAACCAGCCTGCATTGTAATCTTAGAGATTACAGTCACAGCTGCTTAACTTAGAGGTTCAGACCCACAAACTGCAAACGCCTTAAGCAGCAAGGTAAAAGCCATAAAACAAAGTTTAACAAATTGTTAATTGACACATACATGATTACACAGAAGAAAGAGAAGGTACAGAAAGAACGTTACATCGCCAGATCAGACAAGCTTCAGCAGTGAAATTTCAGTTGTAAGCCGGGGAGTCTCATTATACAGCTTTTAGGGTTATGACTGGGAAGGGTCGGGGCAGTGTCCTCTCCACACAGGAGACCCCAAAGTCCCCCTGCCAGTGAGGCCCCTTAAATGGCAGTTGAGGCAAAAGTGGCTGTGTCCCAGCTGCATATGTGACTGGAGACAGAGTTTGTGGCTCCCCGAGAACTGCCCAAGTGCCCAGGGGAAAAATCACCTGCATTTTCTAGACAAGTAAGGAGATGTCCCTGAGAGCTGGCCAGGGTTTCATTCAGCCATGGCCCACCTTTCACTTCTGCTTAGTAATTTGTGTTTTCTCTCTTTTTTCCTTGGGTAGCATGGCAAGGGGTTTATCGATTTTATCGATCTCAAAAAACAACTTTTGGTTTTGTTAACTCTGAGCTAAATCCCCGGCCCTCAATTTCATTGATTGATGCTCTGATTTTTATTATTTCTCTTCTGCTTATTTTGGACTTAATTTAGTCTTCTTTTTCTAGTTTTCAATAATGGAATCTTAGGTTGTTCATTTAGACCTTTCATCCTTTCTAGTATGTATATTCAATGCTATAATTTCCCCTCTGACCACTATTTATTTCATGGCATTCTGCAAATCTTGATTGGTTGTTATTTTCATTTAGTTCAAAAAACTTAAAAAAATTCTCTTGAGACCTATGTGTCATTTAAAAACATGTTGTATAATCTCCAAATACTTGGGATTTTCCAGCCATTTTTCTGTTATTAACTTCTAATTAAATTCCATTCTAGTCTCTGGGCATACTTTGTATGATAGCTTTTATTCTAATTTGTTAATATCTGTTTTATGTCACAGAATTTGGTCTCTCCTGATGAATGTCCCATGTGTGCCTGAGAAGAATGTGTGTCCTGTTGTTTTTGGATGAAGTATTTTTAAAATGTCAGTTGGTTCCAGTTGTTTGACCGTGCTGTTCAATTTGACTCTACCTTTCCTGATTTTCTGTAGATATAGATTTTGATACCATTCTGCAGTTCTTGGATAGTCTCTTCTGGTTATTTTCTTCTTGTGTTTCATTCTTTCTCTTGTTGCATTTCAATTTCAATTCAAGAAGTTTCTTTCAACTCGTCTTACAGCTCCCTGAGTCTCTGCTCACCGGTCTATCTGCTGATGTGCCTATCAGCTGCATTCTTCATTTCTGTTGAAGGGTATTTGATGTCTAGTTTTTCACTTTCTTTTATTTTGCATTTTTCTCTTTGTGTTACCCACCTGGTTTTCCATGTTGTCCACCTTTAGCACATTAATCAGTTATTCTAAATTCCTGGAATGGTAACTCCAAAATCCCTTTCATATCTGATTCTGGTTCTGATGCTTGCTTTTTCTCTTACCACTATTTGTTTGATTTGCCTTTTAGCATGTGCTGTAAATTTTTTGCTGAGATCCAGACGTGCTACATAAGGTAAAAGGAACTGAGGTAGAAAGCCTTTAGTGTGCGGTCTCGCACTGATCCGGCTCGGATTAAGCTGTGTTTACAGCTTGCTGTATCTTTAGGAATCAGAGGCTAAAGTTTCTCCTGGTGTCTTGTTTTTCTCCCCTCTTGTCTTTGGGCTTTCCTACAATTCGTGTGTGTGTGTGTGTGTGTGTGTGTGTGTGTGTGTGTGTGTGTGTGTGTGTTCCTGGGCTG